TAATTTTATAATAGTTTTTATTTGTTTTATAATTTATTTCTAAAATCAAATATAAGAATTTGTTAAAATATTTATATTAAAATATTATTATAAAACAAATAAAAATAAATTTTTTTAAAAAATTTTTTAAAAAAATACAAGATTCAAGAATTTTTTTAAAATTTCAAATATTTTAAATTTTTATAAATATCTATTTTTTCTTTTGATTTTTTAAAAAATTTTAATTATTAAATTACAAATATGATCTTTTTTAAAGATATTTGATATTATTGTGATATTTTATATACAGTATATTAATAAATATTTTGGATTTAATGTTTTTTTTTTTTTGCAATTAAAAAATGAAACAAATTTTTTAATAATAAGATAAATTCATAGAGGTTTTTATAACAATTTTAAATAAATTACTTTACATTATATTATATTATATTATATTATTATTCTTAAACAAATTTAACATCTTTAATAATATAATTTAATAAATTTATATATACAAATAGTTTTATTAATTTTTATTGACAATATTTAATAATTATTAAATGAAATTTTATAAAATTATTATATCAAAATCTCAATAACTTCTTAAGCAGCATATTCTTAATTTAATAATAAAAATAATCAGTATATTGCTATAAATTTTATATTTGTAAATATTTATTTATACTTTATGTAAATAAAAATAACGAAATGACCTTTTTCAAATGCAAGTATTTCATTTTATACTACATTTTAGAGTGCTTGTTGCGCGTGTGCATTACTCGTAATATACTGTATTTGTGCAAAAAATTCATTATTTTGGTCGGAGGCTTCCTGAAATAACTTAAAATTAGTTGTTACTTCGGAAATGCCGTACAATTACTGTATATACTGTCAGGAGTAAAAACAAAGGTTGGTCAAATGCGACCTTTGCCACGTGACCGGGTTTTGCGAATGATAAACTTCGTTGAAAATAGTACAGTAGCTAGATAATACAAAGGTAAAAGAAAGGAAATGTAAAGTAATTATGTAATATTCTACAATTTTCTGTTAGATTCGTTATTCTTTAATTCTTTTGTTAAATTAAATCTCACCTTAATATAATCAATAAACTTTCACTTCGGTTATACAATATTTGCTCCATTCACAATACATGCATACTGTAGTTTCCGATACTGTAATCAAGTGTAAATGATTGTCGCTAATATGACTACTGCAATAAAAATCAATGAATTCTTTAGTATCCTTTAATATTATTGAACATGAAGGTAATGTGATAGAGAAAAGAAGATGAGATACTTTTGCTAGTGATGACAATAATCCAAGTATAATTTGCACTCGTTTTTACATTGAACTTATATCGATATTGCATAAAGTCATTTTCCTTTTAGGTTGCATGAAATGAGATATGCTATGTATTTTTGTTGATTCAGGATTTTTATTTATAGGTCTTAACAAATTGAATCGAGTATATTGATTAATTTAATAATCTTATAGATACTAATTCAGTGAATCCTGAAATATAAAAATAATATGTACATATTACCTGAGTTTTATTTAATGTTTAATCATACTATTTTTATAGTTTTTATTACGTGACGATGTATATGGCGACATAAATATTCACATTTTTTATACTGTAATTCGGAAATAAATTCATTTTAAACGCCCACACACCCTGATGTGCGATTTATTTACTATACCTGTTACGAATACACTATTTAGGATATTTGTACATTCTGTATAAAAATTCTCGCATAGGTAGCTGCTGTGTCAGTTATCACTCTTGAAACAACAATGGTTCGCGGAAACTCTCTTATAGATGACTTGAGACTTCTTATTAATAATCCTCGATACAGTGATTTGGAAATCTGGTGCAAAGATGATTCTGTTCTTTATGGAAATCGTGCAATTCTTGCCGCTCGTTCCGAGGTATTTGAGAGGATGCTTTTTACAAGATCT